TATATATATATATATATATATGTGTATATGTAGAGAAAAAAAGGGAAAGACAAATATAGATATAAGTTTATGACAGGCTTGTTGATTGATCCACTTTTCTTTAGATACCACATATTGAAATATCTTAATTGATTTTACCTGCATTGCAAGGAAAAGAGGATTTATGCTCTCCATGGAAACTTATAGATAACTGGGTAAATCACTCTGCTATATAGTTAATTCGTACATCTGTTTGTGTAATTTTACTGCTAAACAAAAATCATGTAGAGTTATACTGTATACGAATAGTAAGATCATTTTCACGACGAATGATTACATGTTTCATATAAGCTTGGCACTCAAGAAATAATACGAAGACCTTCATCTATTTCTACAAAAAGCTAACTTGAGAAAGCTTGCGTGTTAAGTCGTTTGTTAGAAATTCCTCCTCCTGTTCATACTTTAAAGCCAAAGCCTCCTTATCATTCTTCAGTTTCTGAATGCGCTTCAGCAACATGTTGGATATAAATTCTTCCTCCTGTTCAGCCTTTGCGTGCTAGAAATGTCAAAGTCTGAGGTGAACTCTACACAAGCGTAATTCATATGGAGTATCAAGTGTTGGCATTACAAATGGATACATGAGAAAACAAAAACAACACAAACCAAGCGAACGCTTTTTTCCCTAATAGTTTTATTCAACTGCTGTAGCGATTCATTGCGAGCACGCAAACCCGAAATTTCTTCCTTAAATTATTATTAAAAGGATGTTAAAATAAAGACTCAAAATGTTTTCAATATTTCAATTCTGGAAATCAAATCAGTGGAGTCTGAATATACGCAGTGCTCACACTAGATGGGACATTACCAAAATTACTTTTGGGTAATGATTACCACATTACCAAAAGGGTTGCAAGAAGGTCCCAGTAAATTATTGTACATCTCTGAACATCTTAGTTCACCCAGTTATTCTTTGCCTTTCCAACCCTAAAAACCACTAATGCTCAAGGGGGATTCCTGAATCATTAACGGCTTCTTAACAACAAGTTGTTATATGTTTATTACTTTTACCTCAACGCGAGTTTTTTCTCTCAGAAGAAAGACCGCTTTCCTCAACACATCATCGTATTTTACAGAAGAACGAGGAATGCGTTCTTCATAAAGAGAGATCAATTCCTGGTCGGAGATCACATCAACTGTCACAACTTCCTGAAATGCATGATGATTAGTATTTACCTGAAAGGCCTGGCTTCGGATAAAAATCCCAAACTCCATAAGGAACACAAAATTTTTAAAACTGAGAAGATTCGATCAAAGAAATTTAAGCGATTTAAGCGACCTACCAGTGAAGAAGGCAGCTGCGGCGAAAGTTTTGCGGTTACTTTAGCAAGTTCAGAATCTTCACGACCAGCTAGAAGATCTTAAATCTTCAAAACAAAATTCAACATACTATAAACCAGCCCAAAGTTATTACCAGCTCTATTTATTCAAGACAGCAAAAGAAAACGAGTCTGCTTTATGTGCAATCAGCATATTCGGTAATTATTTCACCACTGAGTAGGCCAACATAAAGAAATATAAATACCTTTTTGACAACGAGCATGCTTGTCACGTGAACCATCTGAATTAAGAGATGTGCGCTCCGCGCACATAGTAGACTGCAACTTGAATGACTGACCATTTGTTAGACCCGTGCTGCCAGACATCTGAATAAAACTGCAGGTGACATGTAAGCAAAGTAAGTCACGAAATTTATATTAAATAAAAATAAGTTTGAAGTAGTTGTACATAGAGAAAAATGTATCTGTTCGACAGATAAAGGAAATGATAGTGACAGAATGGATACACAGTCACTAAAAATTCGACAAATAAGCCTTATGTTTATACATTCGAGCGTGACACATTTAGAAGAGCACACTGTTTGTCATTAAATACATTTCAGAGCGGATGCTTATCGAATGAATTTCGAATTACAGGCAGATAGAAAACCATGTATTTTATCAAACAAAAACGTCAGTTTTTATCAGAAAAGTTCCGCAAATGTTTGTAGCAATTAAAATGCATTCCGACTATGTAATCTGTAAAAATATGAAATCTCCCGGGAATTTTCACCACAATCTTTCGTTACAAGTTTGGATTGGTTTATAACAACGACTTCACAGATGTTTATTTTGAAGCACTTAATCTAATTTAATACTCATTATAAGTAAATTAAAACCCCCCAAAAAATTAGGATGCTGAAAAATCTTATTGTGGACACTATGTCAGTAGCGAGTCTGGAAGGCTTCCTTTCTCCAGTTTCAGACCGTCATTTAAAACCTTGATCGTTATCAATTATCTTTCTATTTAGCTCTATACTCAATTCAGACCATTAAATCGAGCGGTTATACCGCATAATGCAACTGTGATGAAATAGTCCGTTTTTACCAACAAAATAAGCTCTACTTTTTACAGATAAAAACGCCGGTAGGACTAGTGGTAAAGATCTCAGTAATCAGTTAAACAATGATAACTTTCGGTAGCAGCATAACTTTGAATTAACCTTATAACAGCCTTTTCCAAGAATTTTTTCAATGGCATAATTCAGCCACTTATTGGAAATTTGTTTCTTCAAAGCTGTCTTAATTCTTGAAGACAAAAATCAATTTCTGTGCGAAATATCCAGAATTATCAACTCCTAGATATTATAAAAGGTAAGCCTATGACTATCAACCGAACGACCTGAACCTGCTTAACCGAAGTACAAAATAAACGATGACGCGAGCGTTCGAGAAACTCTACCTAGAAACAATGAACCGCTTAACAAGAGAAATCCCAATTTTATATAGCACAGCTTATCGACCGAAAAATTTTTATGTTTGCATAATGTTTCACTGGTTAAATCAGTAATTTTTCAGGGCTCTTTGAAATGAGCTGCAAAAATAACGAATTTTGCTTGAAATGGCAACAGAAGCAGAGTCATGCTCTTCCTCATGATCTGGTCGAAATTACCGCGGGCAACCAATCTCAAAACTTACTCTTGATGTCTCGAACTAGTCCATACAAGTACACGTAGCGTAACACTTGAAAACTTGCCCTTCCTCGGGCAACAATTCACCCCAACCCCTCCAAAAATCGTTCACCAACGAACGATGGATGAAGTTTCCGTCATTGGATGCTTCGTCCACACGTCCCCCAACACAAAACAAGAAAGAAGGTTCCAGTAAGTTCTGACACTACAAAAGTCCTGTCATCTGCTGGTATGAGAGGTGGTCAGGCTGAGTGAGAAGAGCTGGTTGGAATTCTATTCATTACCTCAGGATTCATGCTGCATTTTTTTACGGTTAAAGTCTTAATTCCGAATATTTAAGGATAAATGTGGTTAAATAGGTGTTGAGCAGTCAAGAAAGAACCCATCTGACATATGTCCAACAGTGAAGCAAATGAAAAACCAAAGAAAACTTACAGAAACTTCCAGGAAATCAGTGATCGAAGAATCATCATTTCTTCGGGAGTGCTTAGAGCATTGCTACCTTAATTTAATGTTCTGAGATTTAATGCTCTCTTTCTTGAATAAACTTACAGCGATCTGCAAGACAACCAGAGAAAGTTTTCCACACTTTCAGAGGGAATGTCACGGGAATAAAAAAAAGAGAAAAAAACGATCGAAATGATTCCAGAAAATCGGAACTTATTTTTGGTTTAAAATGTCCTACTTATTTTTGAGGGAATTTTAAAATGTTTTATGTTTCATGGCTGTGCTTAATTTTGCGAGGACTCATTCAAGTACAGACGTCAAGTTGCACTGAAATTGAACTCAGTAACACACTAGCTGTCGCACACTAACTGAAGAAGTTTCGTTTTGTGTCAGATAAAAATTATTTGCCGCAAGATAGAAATCGCAGATTGGTAGACGAACTGTGTTAGCTCTGATTCTAATTACTGGCTCGCTTCAAGTTTTTTTGGAGGGCCCAGGTCTTTTTATTCCTTCTTTCCTCAAATTCTTCACCCAGAACAAATCTGGAAAGTTGAAGGATATTACTTGGTTGATTCCACTTCGTAAGTAAGCAAGAAATACTATAACGATGCACTTTGCATATTTGAAGTGAAAAATTTCATGACTAACCAATACTTTGCACATAGCACAATTGTATTCAAGAAATGCTAAAATGAGCACAAGAAATGCTGGAATCAAAAATGTCTTATTCTGTCTGCTGCAAAAACATCCTCGCCGCACACCGAGTCATCCTTAACGATAGGCATTCATTTCATCGTTACTTTTCTCACTTCCCACTCCTCTAGATTATTCTCAGGTTTAATTCTCTAATTTATTAGTAAAGTTTAAACATCAAACACTGTTTTGATAAATTCGGTAGTTTTAAATTTCCAAATAATTCCATCTTCAATTTTAATTATGAGATAGTAAAGGGTCGAGGCCTTTCAATAAGTTAAATTTTTCTGTAAAAATGTCTTTAATCGACGGAAGAACTTTCTTAATATGTACTAACCTGTTGACACAAAATTTAGCATATTATTATCGTACGCTGAATTATAGAATCAGTCCATTGGATTCCAATGGCATTGACAAAATTCGGATTTCCCAGGAGACTTTTTGGATTTATAACTCGACTTGGCTATCCATATAATTTTCCATCTTTACTACTCTTCCAGAAATATCTTTTTTTTTTCTAGATCTGACACACCTTTTACGATACAGGTAGGATGAAAAATGTTTCCGCACTGACAGCAAAAAATCTTCGGTAAATGACCTGAGAATCAGATATTGTCTGAAAACCTGAACATTTTTCCTCTGGACAACAAATAAGGGACAAGTTAAAAACATTGTCCACAGAAATGAATAAAAGTGAGGGGTGGCATATCTACATATTTACTTTGATATGTTGGGAAAGCAATTATTAGTGTGGAAAATGACGAGAACAAACATAAGAGGAGATAGCATTGCTTTCGAGGGAAACCATTGATTTTGAATTCGGGAAAGCAACAAAAGCATTCCTCCCGAATTCGTTCTTTAACGAAATTTGCTTGTGAATTGGAGCTGTTATCATGAGTTTTGAATCGAATCCTTGCAGCAAGTAAGCAAAGATTCTAGCTATGTACTGTTCCATTGCTCGCTTCATCATTATTCTCCTTCTAACTTGCATATTGGCTAGAAAATGCACATCTTGGATGCAACCACAAATCGGCATCTATCCAGGCTTTCTTAACATCTACAGTGCCAGCAAAAATTTTGGTTGGTTGCATTAATTTTTAGTGCAATTCGTCTGCCCTATTTAATTTCAGTTAATTATCAATTCATAAAATCCGAATTCTACTAAAAAAGGACAAAACAACTGATTGCTTCAATCCATATCGGGATGAGTGCAAAGACAAATTGTTTATTTCCATTATTTACTAATGAAAAGAATGCCACTACTGGTTATCAGTACCTATTGAAACAATAAGAAATGTGTTACTACCTATAAGCATGGATTTCGGATGAAACTCAAATTATAATTCAGTTTATAAATAGAACTCATAAATCAAAAGGTTTTGGCTGTGGCAATGAGCTCATAATGAAAATATTCCTTTTCAAAAAACTTTTTTATTAAAGATTTTTTTTTTAAATACACTTGACTGAAATTTTTGAATGAAAATCAATTGTCTGAAAATCACCTTACTAAATATACATGCCTGTTGTACTGAGAACTTCTAGATATGAATATTTCAGTTCTACGTCTGGTTTTCTAATTGTTTTCCAATTCTTGGCGTAATAACTGGTTGGTTAGCTAAGGAAAACGCAATTTTGAAAGTTCCATGTTTTTTTGCCATCCATAAAAGTTCTCTTTATTGGTTAAATTTTGTTTGGATTTTAGTCAATAGTGACGACTTAATTACTGGACAACCGTACACACTTGGTATTCGTATGGCCAATACTGATCAGTACGATTACTTGATACAATCCTGTACTTATAATAATAAATACCGCTTTGTCGATCAGAATAGGTAAACTGGTCCTATCTTGGAATTTAAGCTTTTATTTTGGATTTTCTTTGTAAATTTTGCAGCCTTCCCAGAATCTAGTTACATTTTTAATTGTAATAATACCCTTTTTCGGAAGTGTGAGTTTTTTTCGGAAATTTTAACTAAAATTTTTTTAATCAGTAAAATTAGATCTTATTGCAATCTCAGGTTAGGGCGCAGTATTATCATTTTAGTTTTTTTTAAATTACTTCTAAATAAGAAAATAGTCTGGACAATTAAAACTTTCCGCATTGCAGCTGTCTGGTTTGCGACAAATTTTTCCTGCAGATGTGGGAAAATGACATGTATCAGTTGGAAGGTGCAACGAAACGTACGTTTATCCATTTCATGCCACCAGAGCCGCTCACTCGTCTCGAGTGCAACATGCGCATACTGCATTGCTGCGGATGTGCTGAAGTAAATATTTAAATTATTATAATCGTGACCGTTGGAAGTTCGATATATCAATTCTAGACAGCAACATATTTTGCACTGCTTTTTGCAAAAATGTTTCGAAGTTTTCTATTAAAGGTACAATCCCTTCGCCGGTGGGTTGTACCTTTTTGAGGTTCCAGCTTTCGGTGATAAGGGAGGAATTTATTAAATTTCTAATATTCTATGAAATAATGTAGAGGAGCTAACAAGTAATTCAGAAGAATTTTCCCATCAAAATTTATTAATACTTCAGCATTTGTCTCAGTGACTCCCTCCTCTCTTCCACAATTTTTGACTCAATTCAAAAAGCTGATAAGTTACCGGCACTAAAGAAAACAAAAAGTTCCCGAGAGCTGTAATGTACATTGGAACTCAGCAATAAGATTTCTGAATGATTTAAGAAAATCCGTAAATCAGCATAATTGGATCATATGGTCTTACGCCTATTTCTTAGAACATAATCCCATATCAGTCAACCGAAAGTACAAATCATACTCTCCTCTCTATTAATGACTAATTTATAGTGAACGTTAAAAACTTTTAAATCTGTCGAATGTATGAAACTTTGTTCACCCAAGAAATTTCTAGCGTTTTTCCTTTCTGTTGTATTTCATTTTAAAAAGTTTTAATTTATTTTTAGAGAGCCTGTGAAAGGAAAATTTTACCGGCTTTGGTTACTTATCCGCAGAAAGCGATCAACTTAGCAGTCATTAATGAGCAAGCAACAGGAATTTTTGCCACTTCGGCAGCCAGTTGGCCGTGGTGGATTTGGCTCCTCATTCTTTTGGGAGTCATCCTCCTTCTTTGCTTATTACCCCTACTTTTGTTGTTATGTTCCCAATTACGCATACGCAACGGGAAGATATCAGATTCAAAAGACACAGTTCCACAATCGAATTCAGCCAAAGTTTCAAATATTCTTGTTCGAACAAAAGAAATGGAAGGAAGTGGTGCTTCAGAGAAGAGCTTAAGAAAGCCATCGGTACTACCACCACCACCATCTACCCGAATATTCCGTACTCCATCTGATTCACCATCTGAAATTGCTCATTCAACTGCAAGTCAGTCTCGGATTTCGTTTGTCATCAAGCAACAACAACCTCACACGTCCTGGGCAGAAAGTATCACCCGAAATAAGATGGAATCGAGACCAACGTTAGGACGACATATGGAAACACGTCATTTGGAAAGTGTAATCGAAGAATGCGGGGACGTGGGCAAGTACGAAAAGGTCACGGGATCAGAAAGTAAATTCAGATCCAGTCCAAATAAGTACCACATTGGTCAGTTGGATCCCGAAAGGGTGATGCATCAGCAAACTACCTGCGAAGAGAAATTTTTCAGGAAAAGCAATCGTCAAAATGAAATGCTTGAAGAAGGTTACGACTATGCTCAGCTTACATATATTACACCTGAGAGATATTTCTTCCATTCCTAAGTCCTTTAACTTCTACAACTTGCGAGATTATTATTTCTGATGCAAATTCGGTTATTTATATTTGCAATAATGTATCTAGGAATCCTTAATTTTTTAACGTGGTGAGGAATAGAAGAATATCAATGATAACAAAATCATATTTGGACTAATAAGCATAACCGAATTACTTTGCATAGATAGCAGAAGTTGATTATCTAACCGGAAATGCATGATATTTAATTTAGTTGTTATAATATAACAGTACCCATTCTTACAAATGCTGCCTATCGCTTGTTCATTTTTCCAATCGTAGTATTTCATTGTTCCCATTCAGTATTCATTCCCCTTAAGCTTAAACACTGCCAATTTTTTTTAACTGTCATATTTAATTTGCACTCAAAAATGCTTGAATGTTGCGATGTAACTAAACTGAAAAAAGAAACTTCAGCGATTGTCTTTCCTACATCTTAAGTGGAAATATATGTATTTATTCCATCGGCATGGCAATCTTTAATACAGTTTCGAAACATTAGACTTGACCATCGTTAGCTCCAGCTGATGAGTGGTTGTTTTCTTTTTCTTTTTTTTTTAAATAACTTTTCAACCCGTTTCTAAAATTTAAATCTATTTTGAGCAATTTAAGGTTGGCAAGCATCTAATTCAAAATGTTGTATTACTTATCACTCATTTCCCAATGACGATTGATGGCTTACCTAGCTTATCTAATTTAGGATACTTTTAACTTAGTCTGCCATATCGTCCATGCAACATGCCTTCAATCGTAACAGGATCCAAAATTTCATCAAGAATGTACATTAGTCTTCGTAGAAATTTTCCAGTTACTAACTGAAAATTGAAGAGTAAAAGCAAAGTCGAAGTGCCAAAAAATCCAAGTCTTTGAAATGAGGATTAAAATGAAAGTCACAATAACTTGTTCATTTAGAAAAGTATAATGGGAAAAGAACGGTATCGATTGGTGTGTATTGTAATTAATGATTAGAGAAGCTCGGGAAAGGACAACAACCTTTGTCCCCGTCTGTCCCATCACAATGTCAGTCTTCTGAGCAGTCTGTTAAAATTTCATTATGAACAATCGTTGCTCGCTGATACCAAAGGATTCGTGCCAATACCCTGATTTCGATGACATTTTCCTTTCATTATAATCGCGTCTTTGATTATTTTTGTTTATTTTCACAAATTTTTAAAACTAAGGCGAAGAACAGGAGTCGAGTATGGTTCTTCATTAGGACAAAAAAAAATTCTAGCAAAAAATTTTGACTCATCTAAATAGTTTCATTGAATTCTACAGATAAAATTTTAACTTAAAATTGAAGCTGAAAGGGTATGTGAATATTTTGAAATTAGAAAAAAAAGGGTCGAAATACTGAACTTCCAGTGATTTGGATTACTGCTTAAAAGACTTCAATTCTTTCAGTTTTGCTTTGTGATATTTTGCAAAATCACCGTGGCGGAAAAGCTTTATGATTAAAGTCTTTTCTGTAATTTCAATAATTCGTCAAAATAGCTGATACTTCTGAAAAATGAACAGTCGACGGCGGCTATCGATGTTCATTTCTCTGATCATTTTCATAGCTGCCCTATCTCTGGTTGCTGCAGCGTTATTTACCGATTACTGGTCCGAAAGTAGGCCTATCAATAAGAAATTTAACTCTGTGAATAATTATGTGAATTTGGGTCTCTTTAAAGGCAGTCGACAGCTGGATTGGGGGCTTGGTCCACGTTATAAACCTTTTACAGGTAACTTATTAACATCGGTGAGTTTATAAAGAGCAGGAATAACTGCTGCGAAAATTTTTCTGAATTTTGTTAAAATCTAAAAATATTTTTGTTCTTTCCAGTATACGAGGAATTACATGACCGAGCAGGTTTCGTCTCTAAGGTTCTATGGTTATTTATTCTTTTCTTCTTGGCAACTGGAATTTTGTGGAATGCAGTGGGTGCAGTTGTCGCACTTTTGAACACTGTCGCTAAAGAAACCAATACTGTTGCTGGACCGAAAGGGATTTATCTGTGGAGCATTCTTGCTGGTGCATCTAAAATTTCTAACAATAAATTTGTTTTTGCCTTGTTGCATCCAATAGCTAGCGAAATTCTTTCGATCTTCAAATTGTTGAGATTTAGAAGCATTTAAAAATCCATTTTCATAGGTTTTTCTATACTGAGATCACCAAGGATATTCGAGCTTCTAATGCGATGTTTCCGATGTTGTTCATGACAATAAGGGCAGCTCCTTTATTTCCCTTTGTTTCATACTACTTACTTGCAGTTCTGACTCATCATTTACGCTAACTGCGCGCACATTTTGGAAAGACCAGCATTTTTTCTCATTCAAATTCATTATCTTATATCTGAATGTATATAGAATTCTCTTTTCCTTCGATACGAGTAGCCCAAATTCCATCCCGATGGTTTCCACTCCAATCAACCAATCCTCCGTCCTTCTGTCTATCCCAGTGACTCTTGTGGTAACGACCGATCACCTCTGCCACTTGTTTTTTCGTCTTTTACAGCGGTGTCATATGCATCAGCGTTGATAACTTTCTTGGCACAATATATGACAACGATTCAAAACAATGTTTTACTGAACGAACACATTAGTAGTGGATTTTCAACGGAGAATCGTACAAGGTCACTATTTGCTTGTATTCTAAAAATTCTATCTCTTCACTTTACCCTTCCCTAGCTATCACTTTCCATTTGTCTTACAAATTGTTTCGCCATCTAAGTTCCAGATCATCAGACAATGTTTTATTTATCGGACAGGTTTGGTTCCAGGCTCAGTTTTTCATTCTACTATGTCACAACTGCACTGATACTTTTGCTGATCCCATGTTTACTGGTTTACGGAACTTCATCAAACAAACAGAGCAGTGAAGGAGAGAAGCGGTTACGTGTGGACCGTACTGTCTTTATGTACTGATGTGTTTAACTTTCTGTGTTTAATGCGGATAAAAGTTTATTCCATTTAACATTCCGTCTTCTCAACTTCCATATATCTTTCAGTCAAAATTACGATAACTTCTGCTATGACTCTCCGGACTGATGAAGAAAGGAAGAAACAGAATCGCAGATCAGTTAAGTCTTCATTTCCGAAAGCTTGGTTGCAAGCTTTCTCCCAATCCCAAATAACAGCCAAGATTGAAGGCAAAGTTACTTTCTGTCTGCAAGTCTTTGCAGCGCTGTCAAAAAACCGACGACAGTCAATATGACAAGTTTGAAACTAATGAAAAGGTGGATATGTAACACTTATAAGAAATGACATTCTTCAATGAATTCAGAGACAAATCATGACATTCAACAAAATGAAATTCCTCATAACAGTAACATCGGACCAGCATCTAGTGATGATGAGTCATCCAGATGCGTGTCATGCATTACAATTTAAAGTAAATAATCGTGATGAAATGGATTTCATTCTGCAGCTGAAGCTATTAGTTACACTGCCCCACACATTTATGGGGTATTTGTGTGTAATAGGGGACTTGCTTATTCTATCCCAAATTCCTTAACAATTATTGAAGAGTTCAACTTTTTCGCTGCAACAAAACATGGCACTACATTAGCACCATAATACGATTGTTCTTTAACGTGTATTTCTATCGCCCAGTACCACCATTTCAATTTTTTCCTACCATTAGTCGTTCTTGACGTTTGCAACTATCTCTTAATAACTATCATATGGTTCGCAAGAAAAAATCATGAAAAGCCTGTTTTCATGGATGGATTCAACGGTATGCTTCCACACAATTTAGCTGTAGCTTAAATTCAAACAACTACTACTTCACAACGAAACGGTGAACGATCCTGGGGATACCAAAAAGGGAGTATTAACACCGAAGAGACATCCTAGTTATCCTATCTCTCCCTCTAATTTCAATAAATCACAATCAGTTCTTCTCCGTATTGTTCACTGATTGACATTTACAACGTAATTTTAACTAACTTTTCATTTTTACAAATAAAAGTGATTTACTGTAGCTTCACAAGGTAATTTGCCGTAGCTATCAACAAGTTTAGAGAAATAACTTGTTGTTACAGTCCTTTTCTTAACTCATCCCCTCAACTTCTGTATGCTTTGCTGCTCACCGTTATGAAGTCAGAACACTTCGGCCAATGACCAACAGCTGCAACAGAGAACAGCGAGCCCTAGGAAGATCTTTTGCTTTTCGGTAAGGATCAGCGCTGCACTTGTGTTTTATCTGCGAGTTTCTGGGAGGTTTTTTTGTTTAATTATGGTTGTGCTTGGTATTGTTTCCCAGTCCTGGGTCAAAGTGCACCATTTCTCCTTCTTGTCATTCCATCAAACAGTTTCTACAAATAAATTTGTGGATCAATATGTGCTTCCTACCTATCCTCATGGTTTCATATAACGCCTACAAAATAACTCTTGCTTTCGGAATTTCTTCACTGTGTATTGCCATCTTTCCATTAGTTCCTAGTTGAAAAAGGGCTTACAAATGTACATTGAAACAGTCTTAAATAAATCTGGTGAAATGATGTCGCTGGGAGCATAAAATAACAGTGGTATAAAGATTTCAAAAAAAGCTAGAGCAATAATATCCAGGGAACGGGAAACTGAGATAATGGGTCCCACACACTTGTGCAACCAAATCTCGATCGATGTTTCAACGCGTCGTGATGTCAACTGTCGATAATCGACTTTTTTTTTCTTTGGCAGTAAATGGCAGTAAAAACTGCTGAAAAAATTGTTAGTGTTGTTGCGAAAAAGTGATTCACAGTGCCCGAAAATTACTATGCTGGAAAAGAAGATTGGTTAGTTATTGGAAGCATTAAAAGTTGTAAGAATTTTGAATGTTGCACCAGAAATTTTAGAATTCTCTTATGTTTTGAATGTTCCACTTAAGTTGTAAAATTTTTATTTTTGAAGGTAAAATATATCAGGATATAAGCTTTGTTGGAAGGCGCATGCTGGATGGAGCAGATTCAAACACTAGCAAGAGAATAGTTATTTTTTAAATGTACTTTGTATTTCAAAATTTCCTTTTTACTGACTTGTTTTCAGCGCGATGTAACTTTTCATGGAATGGTCCTTCCTCTCTAACTTATCCTTTCCTTCCGTTGCATATTGGCGAAAAAGTCAATGTTGCATACAGTTGCGATGGTGAGTACCTTTTTAATTTTGAGTTTGTGCAAATGGGTTATTGCAGCTTAAATGAAATGGATAAGGAAGTACTGTTTGAATTGTTTTCAGTAATATTGGTTTCATTTTTGCTGTTGTTGGCGTTCTCTATGTTCATTCGAGACCTGTTTCAATTTTCCTGTTACGTGAATGGAGCAATAAAAATAATGATAACATAATAGGCGTATTTATAGCAGCGATAAGTAGCATATGCGAAGTTCCTGTAACGATTATTTACCCATGAATGCATTTTGATTTAAAACTGAAGTAGTCAAATTTGTAATTATTTGGGATTATTTGTGTAGTAAATGTTTTTACTCGTAGAACTGTTGTTTAGATAAATTCTCTTCTCTCTGCTGTGCTATTTATGTAATCAAGTTACAGACTGGTCATATGGTAGCAGTCTGGACAACGGGAACAAATTTGGAATATTTCCGAATAGCGCAGTAGTATCATTCAATGAATCGGCACCGACCATATCGAATGAAGCAATTGAGATCGTTGGAGAGCTCACCGATATTCTGAAGGAATGGTGGCATACAGTTAAGGTGTAGTCCATTTCTGTAGTCTGAGATGTATGAACCATACTGAATTGACTGCAGCCTTCGTTTGTTGAATGTTATGCAATTTTAAGTATTTAACAGAAGAACCAATTCAGAGCGGGACTATCTAAGTCAACCTAACTTGTTACGTTTTACGTTTTCATAACTGTTTGAAATCTGTCAAAGCGTATGCTGCATTTTTAAAATTTGTGAAATGTTTGCAATTTTCAGAATACTTACTATCATCAGGCAAGGATGGAATGTCAGGATGAGGTGCTAGTGTACATGGAAGATTTAATGGTAATGCGCAAAAAAATACTTTCGGGTAATGTTCCCATTGAAGAACTGCGGGAAATGAGATCAGAATTAACGAGAAAAATCGATCTAGGCAATCAGTTAGTTTTTTTTTGCAGTGTTGTTTGCGAGGATACGTTTCAGTTTTGTTGGTCGATGGCCACGTTTTCTCACTCTTACTTTTTACAGTTTGTTTCAGTATTGTTTGTACCCGAACTATTATTCGGTTTATTATTGGCATAATACTTTTGTGATTGTAGGTGGTTAGGTCTTGATTTGCTTATCAGAGATGATGTGGGTAGGAAAATGGATAGCGACACGACATCAGTGGTACAAGTATACCGTGCTCATGTAGATGCTGCCGGTAGGATTCTGAACGATTCTGTATGTTTTGGACTTCATATGGATTAGAAAATAATCTACATCACTTACCATACAATATGATTTTTTAGATTTAATTACGGAAATGTTTTTACAAATTTCAACCCTTTACTGATGAAAACAAATGAATCATAAAATCTTCCATCTTATATATTTCTATGGTTTAGAAACCTAATGATACACTTGGAGTAACTGCTTTTTCTCTGCTGGTTCATGCTCTTTCCGCAACGGTTGACTCGAAAGCGGAGTGCGAATTCACATTATCCTTATATGATACCTCCGAAAAGAAGTTTATATCGTATGTTATCGTAAAATCTTATTTGCCATTCAATTTCTGGGAAACAGTCATATAAAAAATTCGTTGTGGTTTTATCAATTCATTCAATAATTGCAGCGAAAACTTCGTATTTTACTGGAGCTTCTCAACGGGTAATTTGACGAATCGCAATAGTAAAGTCCTATTCAATGTAAGTTTCATGCTTGTTAACTTTAATTTTTTTTTTTGTTAGTGCAAAGAGATCAGTAATGGATTTTACGGGTAGTTCAATAATATCATATCTGATAAGGATAGGACAAAAAGTTTATGTTAGATCACTTCCTTGATGGTCTTTAATATAAAGTATTTTTAATTTTTAATTACAGGATCTCGGTTCAAAAGAATATCCTTCTTCTTCGTCGTCAGTGGAAACCCATCGCCTTCTACTATGTATTAGGGTTGCACGAATTGCTCCAATAGAACAGACTTCCTCAACAATGAAGAAGCATGTTGACCCCGGTCCACCTCATCTTTGGCCTCGGCAACCGTATGCTGCTGCAGTGTTAGATCTGTCAAATGTTATAGTCGATTCGCATGGTGTTACTGAACATATCATTTCTTTAAATCGGTAATATTTCTCGCTAAGCAAAATTTCTTACTATTATTATGATAATAGGCCTGATATGATGTTAAAACTAAGGTATCCCTATACTTTTGACCGTGCATTAAATTTCGATGTTTGTAGCATTTGGAAATATTTTATAGTGATGATAGCTTGGAACAGTTAATGGCTCGAACAAGTACTGCGAGAACATGCAATTCCTTGAAAGCAGTGAACGGAGAACTATCTGGTAAGGAACACATTTTTTTTCTTTTGAATGCAAATTCGAATTTAAATTAAGGAATGTTCGGAACTACTTGTATTTCATGAATCAACTTATATAACATGAGCGACCTTCCAATTATTCCATGGAATTTCAGCGTTTGGGCGGGCACAGCTAATGATTTCAACGGAAGTCCTTCTTGGTTCATTGAGCCAAATAAAAAAGACGCATCCTCAGATTTTTTCAAGTAATCCACCATTCGAGTTGAGAAGATTGTCCTTTGCAGATGTTATTTCGGCAGGTGTGCAGTTTTGTCACATCCATTTTTCGAATTAATATTCTAAAACTGGGTTTTTTTAACTTTCTTTAATTTCCGGGCAATCTAGGTTTAAATATTTCACTCCACAATGTATTGAATTATAATTTTGAAATACTAAAATATCGAAAAATGGAGTGGATTACAGATGACATTCGAAATGACTTGTATGTTACATTGCTACAAGGTGATTTACATGGTAGTAAAGGATCGGACAAAAATATTGAAGTACGAATAACAGTCGTTGATACAAATGGAATAGTTGAAAATGTAATTTTCAAACATTTACCTCTGATTTACATTGTTCGAAGCCTGTGATAAATGAAGAAAATTTTTTGAAATTTCCTTCCATCATAAGATGTAATTTACATGGTTATACCGATTATGAAAAATTCATCATTGTTTAGAGTATCGTTGTGATCACTGCAGACGGAATACGTTGCAGCACAACATACCAAAGTCTGGTTTTTTATCATGATGATAAACCGAAGTGGAACGAAGCTATCAAAGTAAGTTAATGCTGGAGTTTTGAGGATAACTTTCTATAAATATGGTACTTCCGCATATTCGTCATTTTTGTTTGTCGTAGGTACAGATCCCGGAGGATGTCGATCAGAATATTCATCTGCGAATAACTTTTCATCACAAAAAGACTTTTGATAAAATAAAGCAAGAAAAAGGACCTTTTGCACTGGCATTCGCGCGGATTATGGAAGGTGCAACTTTGATCAGAGATGGTTTGCATGAATTACTAGTTTACAAGGTTATTTTACAACTTATATGAGTCACTGCTTGTGTCATTTTAACAAATAAAAGTTTTACTAATATTTTCCACAATCTACTCTCTGTTGAAGTTTACTTCATTTTTTTATTTCAACATTCTTTGAAAAATTTAGATTGAAACGGGACGTTATGACGACAGTGATACCAGTTATACTCGGTTGCCTGCCACACGAGAAGAGCTTAAGACTTCTCAGTCTCAGTTAAGGCCTCAAACAACATCCTTTATTTATGGCGAAAAAAATTTTCTGACCATTGAAACAGTAACTTGCTCGACAACGCTAACTCATAACAAGAGTCTGTTGGATATACTTAGATGGAAGCAAAACAGGTGTGTGCGATTCTCTTATAGATCAAAAAAAGATTCCTTAATTTTGTAGATTCTTGTACTCAAATATTTTCATAGCATCAAATTTCGAATTTCGAAATGGCAATATTTTTAGCATTAATAGATTTCAAACATTTGTTATAGTTCCTTTTCTAGAAGCAACTTAAAGGAAAGATTGGAAGAAATTTCAAGGCCAAAATTTCTGGCAATTGGTGAAGAGTTGGTAAAATTCATCCCGAATTTCTGCGATGCTCTTTTCGAAATTTTAGATAATTATCCAGACTACGACAGCTTGGTTTTTGATGATTTAGTAAGTTTTTTTTTACTCCCTTTCTGTTTTAGTGCCTGATGAACTAGAAACTCGGATCAACTCCTTAACTGTTTGGTGATAGATTTTTTGCATTTTACTTTTTCATATCTGCTATATTTCATTGAAGAATTTGAGTGTTTTATAAGGTTTCATCAGTCGATGCATATCTCTTTTCTAGGTCACTTTAGTACAGCTGGTTAATGAGGAGCGCTACAAGAATTTCCGACCAGTACTTGATAAATATGTGGAGAATTTTCATTCCACTGTAGCATTTTTGTATGTCCTAAACTATCAACAGAATTTAAAATAAAAGTGTGAAATATTTACTAAATATTTGTTAATTAGAGGAAGGATGAAACATAGCTTGTTTCACCAAACTTTATTGTGCATTTTTTAGGAATAGTTTTGGTAATCATAGTAGTAGCGTTTTTCAACAAAATGTTTTGAGATCAAATTAGAATATTTGCGACAAAATTAAATATGATGAAAATTTTTCGTTTAGAAAGTTGTTACCAGTTCTTCGTGAAAGAATTGAAAATGCTGAGGATACACACGAAAGATCACTAAATACGATGAAAAGTCTTGGCACCCTCATTAAATTGATTGTTAGGTCAAAATTATGCAGTGACAGGTAATTTTTATTCTAGAAAATGAATTCTATTCAAAGGAAATATGGGAAATTCAGGTATTTAAAGTGCCAGGTTCAGATTTCAGGCTTCTTTGATGATTTCACTAAGTTTAAATTTATAGACTTGGTATGGCGTCAAGTAATTTTCAACTTTTGATCAATGAGCTGCTGGAAGCGTTTGTTGTTTTCATGCAAAATAAGCGAGTACGTATGACTTGTCAAAATATGGCACTGAAACATATACCAGCAATCATTCCACATCTTACCTACTACAATGTTTATAATAGCGATGATCTCACGTAGGCTTTTGAATTGATGATAAAATGTTTGCGGGAAATTTTTCTCCGTTAAGTCTTTGTCATTATAATCTTATGAATAATGTCAGTCATCTGATCATCTCATATATATTTTTTGAATGGACCTGTTGGTCTTAAATTGGCCGGAACTCTAAACTTAACTTTTGTTGAGCTGTCTTATAATGATAACTCTGTCTAAGGAAAATGATGCGGACATTTTGTTAACGTCATGTTGTTAATTTAAGAAATTTCTTGGTACGATTAATGGATCATCTTGGTGAAAATATAAGTTCAAGGTGTCGTTTGAATTTTCTTAAGGATGTAGTGCAAACGGAGCACTTCATCCTGGAAGAAAACCGAAAGAAGCTGTTGCCGAAGGTTATTAATCAATTTTTTTCATCATCATAGTTCCATTGTTCTACATTCTCTGAATTTGACATCCTTGACTGGCTATAGAAGTATAATCACTTGTATGGTATACATGGATTGTATTTTTCTTTTTGATTGCTGACTTATCGTAGGCATAAAGAGGGTTATAATATTATTCCCCAATTTGTTGTAGATTTTAAGATTACAAAGCAGCTTTATTATCGGCCCATAGTATCGAAACCATTAATCATTAACAACTGTCTTGACTCAGTGTTAATAGTACTTCAATGTTAAGCTGAAGAATAACGAATGGAAATGTGTTGATTACATTTAATCTATAAGTTCCTTTATTAATATTTGTTAAATACATATCCGAAATAGAAATTATTTTATCTACTGACAATGATCCCGTCAGCGTATGGCCTCGACACTTTGTGTATCATATAGTGTCGTACTTTAATTGTCATTAATTCTATTTTACGGACTTCTCTTTCTTGTTGAGCAGTTTTCCTCATCATTAAACTATCCTCCAAGTTGTTCCCATACAAACACACGTAAAACATCATTTTCCTTTCTTATAGGGTGCAATTTTTTTGCTAATTTACCATAGCATTGTTGTCACCTTCCAGATTATTGAAAAAGTTGTGGAAGAGCTCGAGACTTCTGACTTCGTCCACTTGCAAGATGTAGCGTGTGATCTGTCCAAGATGGAAGAATGCATTTCTACCAGCGCCGATATAATGTTTTATATCATTGAACGCCTCTTTTGCTCCACGGTTCATTAAAATTATTTGAAATTGAGAATCACATTTGATGCGCACTTTTTATACAGAAAATTTAGGAAAAATTTTCCGTAGTTGTGTCCATTTTAGACTGCTACGTGCACTGTTTCAGGATCCTGTTTATGAGCAAGGAAGCGAGGAAGAACTTTACCTCGTTGTATGGAAATCATTTCGTACCATAGTTCAGACGACGATTGTTTTGATAAATGCAAAATATTCTGCTGTATGCATGCTGAGATAATCCCTTTTTCCTACTTCATTTTACTTGAAAAATTCAGTCCAAAATTCAAGAATTGAAAGATTTTTAACTAGTTTATTTTTTCACTGTTTATACTTACTGGAAGAATCATTATTTCAGTCTGTGTTCTGCGCGCTTACGATTGCAGTTCTTAGCAAACTGTCGGCACAAATGTACAAAATATACTTAGAAAGTCATGCTACCCGTATTGATAAGCATGATTTATTGATGGAAATTGTTCATTTGTTTCGTGATCTTATCAACAAATCACCATTCCCGTGTTCTTGGTTCCAGATGATACTGTTGCAGGATAGGTATGGTATCTGTTTACTTGGACGAAGTTTCACTTGTTTGATAAAGAGTGGTGAAATTTGACATCTTACTTTAAGATTCTTAGCACATTATGACTTCTGGAAAATATTACCTCAGCGATAGGCATGGCAGTCAGTATAAGGCGGCTTCCAAAAATTGGATTGGATGGTGTAAATCCGCAAAATTCGCTATGTTTTTGAGGGATATTCCTCGTGTTTGTATATACTGTCGTGGATTTCTACATCTTATTTCATCATTTATTCTTAGAATGATTTTGAAAACGATGAAATTTATCATGTCGACAATCGTTGAGCACTTTCATGACGATCAATTCGATGCTGAAGTTTGTGCAACTTTTCATCATTGTTTGTATATATGCAATTTACTTTTTATTTATCCCCTTCATGTTTTTTTTCTTTTACACTTGTCAAACTCTTTATGTTTGTTATTTAGCTTTGGCGAGAGTACATGTTGACGATGGTCGCTTTTTGCACACAAAAAGCTCTTCAACTAGGCTCATCAACAATTAGTGAAAGGCGGTCGCGACTTCTGTCATGCCAGCCTGATTTGAGAAGGATAGCAGTTGCAGATTTGCGCTCTATGTGGTTTCGACTGTCGAGTTAGGCTTATTGATTTAAACACTTTTATGCATTAGCAACTATTTGATATTTACTTTAAATGGAGAATACTCTTTTGTACTTTTACAGTGGGCCAAAAGATCTTGTTTGTACCGTCTATGATTGGTTCTTATCTTCGAGTGGCTCTGGTTGATGACGATGTTGTACGTGAAACTGTTATACCCATATTTTTCGATATGCTTCAGTGTGAATTCCATTTGTCGCCATTACGCAATTTCTCCAAAGTAGAGTATTTCTGATTTAGCTTTTGCACATTTGTCATTTATTGGCTTTTTTTTTCCACTGTTTATTATTCCGCTGAAATATCACATTAAAGTTTGCAAACGAGACTATAATGCAACTGGACTGTCTGGTTGACGAGGACTGTGGTGGCGAAAAATTTAAGGAGCAGTTGCACAACATCATGATGGATATGTAAGTGTCGTTTTCTAGTTTCAGAGGAAAGTTTTACAGAAATCATGGAAAAAATCATTGAAATCGTCTCAAGATTTTCAGGAGTCGTTCGGATGCGGATCTTGTTGGAGAAGGTTGCAAATTTGTGGCTTTAGTTGATACTCTCCTACAGCATCTTTTTGAATATCGTGAAGTACGAACAAATGGTTACTGTATAGAAAACGGAATGGACCGAACTGTTGAATTGTTGGTTAGTTTTTTTTGTTTCATTTTTTAATGAATTTTTCATGTAACCTTTTCACAATTTGAAAATTCTGCACTTTGACAAATCAGAAAACATGTTTCTTTATCTTTTTTTTTAATTTTAGAAATTTTATAAACTTATTGGTCAAGATGATCTTTATATCAACTATGTTTATAAGCTGTATGATCTTCACATGCTCAGTAACAATAAAATCGAGGCAGCTTTCACACTTCTGAAGCATGCTGAAACATTGTCGGTAAATTTTCCGGAAATCCCATTCCTTTTATTTTATATTATCAGTGACAATAGCGGTTTGGATTTTCATATTTAATAACGGTTTCGGAGACAGGTTGAACTGTGTTCATCTATGCACAATATCTCAGTGAACTTTAGTATAGCAATACTCCTCAGATACTGGATAGAAATGCAGCGAATTAAGATGTGGATTAAGGTTACCATATCTTGATTTCGTTTATTTCTATTAAACTCCAAATTTAGTGGGCAGAGTGCGAATTACCGACTGCTGTTCTGGATGCACATTTAAATCGACAATGCGGTACACAGCGTCAACTCAAAGAGGCACTTTATAATGAAGCAGCCAATCTTTTCGATGAAAAAGAATTGTGGGAAGAATCTATTGGTATTTTGAAAGAACTGACATTTCAGTATGAAAAAAATTATGAATACGATAAATTACCTAACCTTCTGGTAAGTCTTTTTTCTGCATCATTATATTCAGTCAATAATTCTATTCCTTCAAAGTTATATTTTAAAATTTTCTACAAAATGTTTTCATATTTTTGGAGTTTTTGCATTTTTATAAATTTGAAAATTATTCGAAGCCAATTTTTTAGCAGCGTCTTGCTGAACTATATCACAAAGTAAGTACACAAGGACGAGTTGCATGTACATATTTCTTCGTTGGATTTTATGGCCTCAAATTTCCTGGCTATTTAAACAATCGGCAATTCATCTATCGCGGAAATGAATGCGAAGTTAGTTCTCAGCTGTTTTCTGATTACTCTAGTTTACGGTTTATTAGATATCTTGGATTGCTTACAAAGTTTTGCATTGGCAAATTTTGTGCATTTAGGCCATTGTCAGTTTTCGCCATCGAATGCTGTCTACTTTTCCCGGTGCTCAGTTAATTAATACAATGGATGAATGTTCGCATCTTTCGAAACACGATAACAAGTTTTTGCAAATCTTCCCGGTGAAACCTCTTTTTGAAAGCTGTTGGGAAAAGAAATGTAGCAATCGTCTCATTCGATGGTATTTCAAAAACAACAGGGTATATAGCTTATAAGGATTACTGACTCTAAATATGGTAGTGATATTTTCTCTGGAAGATCTTTCATTCATGACTGATTTACATTGACATCGTATGCAATGCAGTATAAAGCACTGACGTCTGATCTAACGAACTTTTCCATTGGGAACTAACCATCTTGCTGAATAAGATTTTCAGGTGCAAAATTTTGAATTCTGTAAAGGCGAAATTCGAAAAGGAACAAAGTGGACAGAACTGGAAGATAATGAAATCATGCGATCGTGGGTAATCCGACGATCAGTTTCTATCGAAGAACAACTACCCAACATATTACGTTGGTCCCAGATCACTGCTTTTTCTGATCCAGTAGGTTTAAATTCAAGTCAGCATTAATTGTCACTATGATAAATTTTCACGTTTTATAGATAAATGATTGTAATTGTCTTCACAGATTGAATGTTCTCCATTGATGGAAGCTGTGGCAACAATGCAAAAAAACAATGAAGAAATGGAAGAAATGGCACATGTGGTCCTTTCTACACCGTTAGAATCGGTTGTTCCATTAGGAGGCAAAATTCGAGGCATCGTGCAGGCGTTTGTACAGGGAGGAATTAAAAACTACAAAGTTCGATTTCAACGCTCCAGCTGTTTTCTTTATTTTGGGTTTTTAAACCTTGTAAGTTTAAATATGAGTTTTTATATGACAGATTGTCATGTTCTTTTGCTTCAGATATTTTTCGCTGACCGATGTGCTTCAGTTTTGACATTAGAAGAACATGAGCTTGTACGTCAGTTGAGAACATTGATCAGAAACCAGGTTCATTCTTAAAAGTTTCCGCCACTTTCTAGACCTTTGCTTTTATATGATTAATTTTGATGTTGTTAGCTTCCAGGTACCAATTTTGGAGTTTTGCTTATATGCACATGCATCGCGAGACCATCAAGTGAATGTTCAGTTTCATGAGTCCCTTGTAGCTTCTTTTTACGAATATAAAGCAAATATTGAAAAACAATTTGGAAAAGTGGTAAGATCTTTTGAAAATTTGCAAAAGGTATTCGCCTTAATTGAATGGATTTAACTGATCCAAGAATATCGGTGTAGTGGATTAGGTAGAGCAAGAATAAATAGAGATAGTACAGTGCAGAAGGATCGCTTAATTTTATCTCGTGCCTTTGCATGACCATCTTTTTGATGGCAACAGCTATTTCGTGTTTATCGTAATGCATATCTACTTATCCTTAAAATTCAGGCCTCACAGCTACCACCAGGTTGCTCCATTCACCTTTCTCAGATGAAAGGTGACGAGCGAAGAGCAAGCAACTTTGAAACCTCGAGGTAATTCTTTCACCTCTCGAAATTTTTGTTGATCTTTTGTAGTGTAACAATAATCTTTTTCTTTGTTTCTGTTTATTCAACATTTTAGCACTCCATCTGTCATGAGCGTGTTTAAAAGAAGTGGTGGAGCCACGAAAAGTGGGAGAACAACTCCGAGGAAATCAAGTGGTCTGAAGTCCGATCTGAAAAGTGCGTTCGAGAATGGGTAAGGGAATTTTTTTCTTTTTTTATAGATAAGTTAGTATTTTATTATAATTTGTAGTTTTCATTAGAAATTAAACTTCAAGGTTCTCTGTGCTAGTTTACTGTTGATTAACATTCGATGGGTGTAAAATATATTGTTCAGAATTACGAAACGAATTTCATCATCATCCGATCGAAGCTTTGACTACAATTCCAATGAAAATAGTTCCACGTCTCGATCAACACTTGATTTTTCACGATCTGAGCGTCCGCTGAAATCAATCTCTTCGTCATCCTTGCAAATGACAGAAGATGATGCAACTATTAAATCAGTAAAGCCAGTCGAGAGGTAAATTGATGAAGCAGATGCAGTTTTCTTGCAAATAGTCAAATTCCTCGAGATTCAAAAAGGAACATATTTTTAAGCTTGACGATTTGCAGATGAAAGCTGTTGCTAGGGTTCTTGCTTAGTATTTCAGTATGCTCTTATATCCAAGACACGAGAGAGTTTTTTATGCGCAAAGGAATCACTAGGATACCGACACAGTAGTTGCCGTTTGAGTATATAAAATCTACTGAGTTGAAGAAATTATAGGATTCAGTGAATTAAAGTAATTCAAGAAACTTATCCACTTCAGATCAGCTGATATTCAAATCCTACCACCTCCGTTACCTCCTCGACATACAAAAATGTCACTTCTGGTTCCTCAACATCTCAATACCCTTTCGTTTCCGCTGGAAGCTTCTCATCATGATATATAAGTTTCAACATTTACGACAGTTTGGATTCAGGAAGAAGGGATGACTTTTTTTTCTCATGATTTTTGTTGTTCATACTGGGACGAATTCCAGATTTTGACATTTCATTTATGGTCAAAATATCGACTTCGGTGTGACTCCCTTGTTAGAATATGAAAGGCAGAAAAACCTCCAATCGATTTCGAACTAAAACTTCGGTAGTCTGATATTATAGATCAGTTGTTGACTACAAACAAAGTACAATAGCTTCAGTTTTTCAATAAAAGTTCCACATAACTGTGATATGAATAATCTTTATATTTTGCTTTAGACTGTTTTTTGTTAGTTTGTAATTTTAATTTATACCATTCTTTTTAGAAAAGATTTTCATATGTTGCGCTTTTTACATCTGATCTTACTGCGATATTTTGTCGGGTATTGCTTGTTTTTGAAGAAAAATTCACAGTTAATGTATATATAAATTTTTATTGATGCAGATATATTTTTTACACGCTATTTGTATTCAAACTCTTTTCATTTTTATTCTTTTTTTTTTTTTTTGATACAGCATATTCGTTTAAGTTAGTCGGATTAATAGGTTGGAACGAATTCTAGAATACTGCCTGTGGGGGATTTTGAAAGCTTTGGAGAAAAATTCTTTTCAAGATTTCTTTTGACGTGCAGATCTGCTTGCATGAAATTGAAAGAACTTGTTTTCCTTGACTTGAATTCCTTCGGCTTCAGCTCCTTTAATCTTATACACTTAGATGCTACTTGATAAAAGTAATCTTCCACATTTAGAAATTTCAAATGCTTTTCTGGAATTTCAAGAATTGTGGAATATGAGATGTGTTATCAGTCTTCTTTGAAGTCTTTGTTGTGTTCCGCGTTTTTTTGTTAATATTTGACGCAGTGAAATGCTTTTATATAAATTAATTCAGAATTGGTGTTGCTTAGCGTCTCGCATTGTTACGAAGTTCGAGTGAAGATCTCTACTTCTAATGGAAAGCAATATCGGTTTTTCTCTGAAATGGGTGGATCTAATTTATTGTTTGGCAAAATATACGTACAGATCACTTTGATTTTGTTTTGATACGAATTATTAACCAGATTTGTCCAGATCTCGTTTTGGAAATCGAATTAACACCTGACTCGACGAGGAAATTAAGCGGAGGCTATTTGCAGTATTAAAAATTAAACTCTTATCATCGTGAATGTGAGAAAAGACGTTTGATTTCTTCACTGACATTTTCCAGCTTTTGTTTCATATTGGATATAGCTTTTTCAACATCTGTTTTTATGTTGGTTTTGTTTCTGTCTTGCTTATATTCTTCGAGCAATATGATGTTGCCATTCAGGAATGCAAGTGACGTTCCACTCTCGTTACTTGATTTAACCCATCTTTTAGTTGTTTGCTGGGTATTGCTGATAAAAATATGTGGCACACCGGTAGCATATTCTTTCACCTTATTCCCTCGATTAGTAGACAACAGTGAAGGTGATCCAAGTTTTTGCTCATTTGCTACATTGTGCTGCACTGAAACTTCATTTCGGTTTATCTGATGCTCACTTGTATTTGACGTTATCTCTTTGTTTTTTTGGCTTGGTTTATTTGTTGCATTGCTGTCCAGGTTAGATATGTTTTGTAGACGTTCGGCAAATATACTTTTCACTTTTTCCCCAAGTAATTCATAAATTTTGTTCTCATTAACTTCTGAACGTCCCGCTAATTCTTCCTTTTCATATATTTCCGTTTTACCGGGTTCCGTCGTTCCATACATGCGATCTGTAGTAACAGGCCTTCGGTCAAGTTTTTGCAATGTCGTTGGAGTATTTTTGTATAGAAAGACGTCGTTAATATCATCAATTTCACGTGCAAGTGTATTTCTAACATCATGTACTTCCTGGATACTAGCATCGATTTGCTGCTCGTCTTCGACCTCATTCTCCAACACTCCTTTTTTTTCGGTTACATCATGCTTACTCAGTTCTTTGTTATTTTTGGTATGTAGTACCTCTTTGAGGCGTTCTACTAGAGTCTTGTTAGTGTCCTTATTATCAAGCAGCGCGCGCAAGTTCGAGCTTTTTTCTTGCTTGAGAAACAAATTCAAATTCCGAAAGATATCACCGAACTGTTCATACCGTGTTCGCGGACCTTTCTGTTCTTTACCATTTTCGCCGCATAACTCACTCGAATGTTGGAAGTTCTGCTTTGGTGGCTGGATCACATCTTTGTCCGCGGTGTTTTCTTTACGTGCCATCGATTTTTCTTTCATGGCAAAATTCTTTGCTCGAAGTTCAGGTTTATTTTCATTAGCAATTTTATTTTTTACTTCTGCTTCTTGCTTCCCTTTTTCCTTTTGTTCTATTGCAAAATCCATTTCGTCAACTCCTTTGACATCTGGATCGACAGTTGCTAAAGTTTCTTTTGGAATTATTCTTTGGACCTTCGAAAGGCGGTCTTCCTTGTTCTCGTCGGTGACATCTTTTTTTCTGCTAATAGGTGATAAATCCTGTAGTAAGTTAGGAATTCAAAATTTGGTAACTTTCTAAACTTATTTTCAGAATTTCATTTTGATTGCAGTTGAATTTCACCTCAAAGGAAAGGGATGTGTTGCACAATAAGAGGAATTCCGAATATGTTGAAGTGTATCTTTTGGAGGTGACTATTTCCTCCCATTTGAATTTTTCAGCTACTGACTGATAAGAAATAATGTAGGTTGGGGTGATAAGCATCATTTTTCAATATTATAGTGTCATTCGATAGTTCAAGAAAATTCCCATTTCTGCTTATCACAGAAAGTAAAGAATTTTGCAAATTATACTGAAAAAAAAATCTATTCGATTGTTTTGTGAAAAACAAATCCACTTACTTCCGTCCGCCCTTGAACATTCGTGGTTTGGGTTTTCACTCCTTGTAGTTGTACTGTTCGTGGTTCCGGTTTTGCTGCTGCATCAGTTCTTAGTTTACTTATCAACTGCACAAAAAACTCGTAAAACGGATTGTTTTTCCTTTCGTGCTATAATATTTTTTGAATTGTCAATTTTTATTTTTTTTGAAAATAAGTTATCAAAAGATGTGGGAGACTTATCGGTTGCCTCACATTGCTTTTCTTACCTTTTAAATGGCCCGAATCAGTTTTTTTCCAAACATTCTGAAAGTCTTCCGTATTGCAGCCCCTTTCCGTCCCTGTAAGTACTGGGCTCTTACTACGGGCGTTAGAGCGGGGATTAGAACGAATGCTAAGTGCCTTTATGGGATAGGAATTTTCCTCAATTAATAACTGGAGAAGTGGAGAAATACAGCATAACAGTCAAGGATTGTTTCCTACGGAATTCATGGTTTGTTCCTTATTTTTTGACAGCCCATCGAACTTCGCTTCAAAATGACGGTAACTTCACTGTTAGAAAACCTTATAAATTGTAGGGATACTTGTAATGCAGTTGATTGTTCAAAACGATCAAATCGGAGCATAAATGTTTAGAATTATAAGCTAACAACGAACTTCTTGATGCTTTTCATCACTTCGTTGACAAATGAATCGGTTTGTATAGTCGAAATCTGGCGTTTGGTCACATGGTATGGCTTTTAATACCCTGTTATCAATGCTCAGTAATGCACATCGGCTACGTTCTGTAGGATGCAGAATTTTTTCCGTGATATTTGTTACCAATATTTCCCACTCTCTAAATTTAAATGATTAGTTTTGGAGTTGGACTTTGAATTTTGGCCGATTGTATTAGCTTTTTAGTAGTCATAATTTTTAATTACAGTAACAGTATATAGCTAACAAATAGGTAGTATTCAGCGGCGTATTATCCACCCATTTCCACTCCTTTTCAGCACTGTTTTGTTTGTCAACTAGAACAAGTCCAATTTGTGCAGTCCTTTCAGGCATTATTGAATTACTGGGTGGATAGTGTGATATTAGCCAATTCTAAAATGTGAATCACTTTTTGGTTTTAAACAAATTAGTTCTAGAGATTCAGCTAACCATTCATTTCAAAACATGATAAGTCAGTGTCACAAGATAGTTGAATGTGTTAACCTACCACACTCTGCCACATTATTGCGGAGTTCCCGGGTATCTTTCTGTCTTGTCCTTATTAACTGATATGGTAGCTTTTGATGAATCGTCATGTTTTCTTTTGTGGTTTTACAAATTATTTCCAAGAGTAATGAAAGGAAACATACTATCTGCTGCAAACTCTTTATAACAACGAGATCGGAAGCTAAAGCAAGACAGTATTCTCGAGCCATGTTCCAGGACTGTTCACTGCGATGAAATTGATAATGATGTCCTTCAGGACCAGCAATCCAAGAAGTGCCGTAGTTTTGAAAAAATGGCGAAATAAGCTGGAAATTAAATAAGAAATTGACTTTTCCTGCTTTTTTTTGAATTTAGTACAATCATTACATATGACCTATTCAAGGATGTGTTTCTCATTTCTTCTATTATTCACGAGGATTGGAAATTGGTTTAGAATTGAATTGAATTTTAGTTCTATAAGTAAAAGTTTATTCTGTCGACCAACAAAGAGCATTAGCTCTACTTTATTATTTTTTTGGCTCGGGTCAAAATTCGTGGAAAACAATTTTCGGTTCCTTTAGAATTGATTTGATAAGTCAAGTTTTGGAGGAATTTTATTTCAGATTTCCTGATAAGATTCATATAAAAATATTCTCTAAAGCGTCTCTAATATTCTTTAATATTCTTATAAAAATGTTCTCTAAATTTTATTTCAGATTTTCTGATAAGATTCATATAAAAATATTCTCTAATTTCTCTAAAGCTTTCGTGGAATTTTTGTAAAAAATTTTGAGTCGTGTAGGTATATTATTCATACTCAATGGGGAGTCAGCCAGAAATTTAACCCAATTATTCGTAAATATTCCAGAAAATGTTTAGGAATATTTAGCTGTGAAAGATGGTTTACTGGGGTGGTAACACTTTATTATTTATTTCAATTTACTGTCAGGAATATTTGAAAAACAAACAGTAAAAATGAGTGTTTAGAAATTCAGATGACGGTGATCTTGGGTCTCTTCATACTTGAGTTATTTCAATTTTACTTTTGCGTTGATTAAATTTAGTCCACCAGTCAATAAATTGTGTATACATACCATTTGTCGTCCTTTTACCGTCGAATCTGAACTTTCAGTCTGTGCGAAAAGTATGGCAGTGGTAACTGAAATGCTAGTATTATATGAGCGAAAATTCAGGCTTATATTGTTGTCATATAACTTATTTAAAAGATACCTGTTAAATGGGTGAACCATCGTTTGTACATGATCGGTTTGCTTTCCACCAGGTTAGCACCACAAAAAAGTCTTTTGTGGCAGAGAAAGTAACAAAGTGGTACGTCACCTGGAGCTAGTAAAAGGTATTGTGAATTATGTTGGTAGAACGCAATTTATGGTTTTGATAGTTAATTCCTGTAAGGTTGAGTATTGGTATGGGCTTGAAGTTCAAAGTTTGCAAAATTTCTAATTTCGTTTTAAGAAAACTGTTATTAAATTCATTAACATTTATTAATTCTGGCGAAAGCGTATTAATGACGTAGAATTTCAGCAGTTTTCTAATAATTCTTGGAAAAATATGAGTGAACAATAAAATAATTGTCAAAGAGAGGCAAAGAGTAGAAAAGAAAGAATGGGAAGAATGAAAGGGCTCGACGAAGTTGTTTTGCTGGATTGGGTGAGAATGATGAGCAATTGGGATATTCCTTTTTGACTGGGTTTTCAGCAGTTATATAAGTGACTTGTTGTAGGTCAGCGACGTGACCCAAATATACCGTTTTACCCGACAGATAAAATTCCCACTTTAATTTCTCTGATTCCATCTCATATCTTTTTATGTGAGCTTTTTGTACAAACTACCACTGCCACCATCATGCTACTACACTGCTTTCGTTATCACTATCGCTACTACTTTTTCAAGTTGAATCATCCCTTTTGGGATGTTGTGAGAAAAACAATTTCTGAAAATTGTTCAAGAGTTTAAAGTACACTGTCAATCGAATTTCGTTGTCTTGAGTGGATTTGTCCTGTGATTTTGGATATCATAATTCGAATCTTTCGAAGCTTTCTACAATACTAACGAAAAAGTTGTAGGTTTCGCTCCCACGTTAAAGCTAAGGCGAAATTTTGTTCTGGTTAATGGATTTCGATGTTTTACCGGATTTAAAAATTTACGAAAGGAAATTTCGATCTACAGTAAATTTTATCTCATGTTCTCATCGCAAATTTCACAAATTTTGTGGTGACCATAGTCACAAATACTACACCAGTATCACTTTTTCAATGCATTTTTTGCAGAAACTTATGTCTCTTTTCCACCACGAAATAAATTGACGATATTACACAAATTTAGAATGCCATCACAAACCTATAAAAGAAATATCTGGATTGTAAAGATTTGGCACATTTTCCGTGATGTAAGTACTAGGAACGGTAGAGTAACAAATTTTTTTTAGCGTTAAGAAGTAATTTGAATGCATAGAATTAAGTCAGCATTAATGTTTATTTTGAAACTGTTTTAGTAGTGACCGAGTTGAATATTCCAATAATGTATGTTCTGTTCTTTTTTGTTCTGTTGGAGTAGTAAATAATACAAATACATTGACGTGTGACATTTTTAAAATGCTGAGTCGAAATTAAGTTTCATTACTTCAGATCGTCGTTTGTTGACCCTTGATTGGTTTATCCAAGCGTAAAAGTGGTTCTTAATTCTCATCGAGTTTTTGTAGCTGCTGTCGAAACATAATTTCAAAATAGCATTTTCAATTCTTTTTTGCTCCTTATTTCCAACAAACGCTTTCTTTTAATTGTCACATATTTTTATCTCTCAAACGAACGGTATGGTTCATCAAAAAAGCATTAACAGTCTTTGGTGTAGTGGTCTAGTTAATGGAAGATGCAAAGAAAATTTTTTCGAGGTTTTATCCAGCCGGTTTGTTGAATGTTTTTTGGCTAGCGTTTAATCGCTCTCTATTTATTAGTTTTCATGGAAATAGGTTTTCTTTTTGGGACCTCTTGCTTTGGTTTTATCTATTTAATAATGAATTTAATGTAAAAATTCGAGCATGTCGTATTGGACTTCTTATATATACTGGTTGGTTTAGAAGCAATTTCCAAGCCAAGACCCAAAAATTTTCAAAGCATTTTAATTCATACATCAGCATCCACTTCAAGGAAATATTATTGATGGTGCTGAGTTGTTTTTTTTTTTTATTCAGTTATGGCTCACTTTTCACTGCAGAAGAGACCATTAAAATCATCAGTACTATTCCATTACCGTTATTAGTTGGCGATTTTATTTTCTGCAATTTATTTTTTACGTTCGTTTTTAGAATCTTTTAAATAATTTCTTTAAGTGAGACGTTGGGAATTGCTGAAATTCGAAATTGTCGAAGTGCGGACGGCAGCCATTTTTGAAATACTTATCAATAAATTATTATTTTCATTAAAGCCGTATTGTTTATTCGTCGTAGTTTGATTTGACAATATAATTAACATTTCGAATTCTCAATGAATGTTATCATCATAAGCACTTTCCCGCGAGCTGCTCTCTTAACTTTGGGAATCAAATTTCTTTCTTCAGGATGCGTAAATCGTGTGAAATTGCTCTGAAAGAAGGAATAATAGCAATAAAAGGTATCCTCGTTTCCTTAGACCAGACATTACGTGAAGTAAAACCGTGGAAGTTAATCATGGGAACTGCTGCTGGTGTCATTCTCTTGCACGTGTGCGACGTATATGGCGTGCATCGGAGCAACCAATACATTCACGGTAAGCTTGATAATCACCATGATTTGCTTATGAATTGGACTTAGGTTCATTAAACCAAAGTTTGGTTTAATTCACTGATATCGTTGATTATCCTGCAAATTGAAATATGACTTTTGTATGGTCCTGGCTGACATTTAATTTTGGTTTAAGTGCCGAAGCGATTTACATCTCTCATTAATTCTGGAAGGATTTTCCCTAAGATAACATTAGGAGAGGCAAACAAACTTTTCTGCATTTCAGGCTCCTCGGCAAAGTATTTTCTGTAATTTCTTCATTACCTCCCATACGAAAAAGGTTTGAAAAAGAGTTGGGTTACACTCGGCAGAAAATTTTCCGCGAAATCCACAAATGTGATAATACCGGTCTTTTTTTTTGGACGCTTCCTGAAAGCGGCATGGATAGTGCAGAAATTATTGGTGTAGCAGGTAGGTTTCTTCAAAGTTTTATTGTGGATAGCTGATTTTTTCTGATGTGTCAAAAAAATTTTAAATTACCTTTTAGAACAATATAACGCAATGACAGAGCTCGATGTTATAGCGGGTAAAGTGAGTGGCGCCGTATACACCGATCGGGACAGGGAACAAAGTGATCTACTTTCAAAAGTAATTATTAATCTCAGAAATTTTAAAAATTAAAGGTCTTGATGGAAGAAGAAATCTGTTGTTTGGCAAGATTCTGTTAACAAAATTGTTATTGTTATAGATATTTGACATTTATGCATTTGCAAATCCACTTCATCCGGATATCTTTGCCGGATGTCGGAAAATGGAAGCTGAGGTTGTTCATATTGTTGCAAACTTATTTCATGGAGGACCAAACTGTCGTGGAACGGTATACATAAACATTTGCTTATTAAAGTTTCAGAAAGCCAAAGGAAGAAATTATAAATTTTAAGAAAGAAAAATTGATGTTTTATACTAATACTAAAATTTTCAGTTTGAAAGAATGGAAATAACTTGGTAGCTTGTTGTTGTTATAGGTAACATCTGGTGGAACTGAGTCAATTTTATTGGCAATGCTTTCCTACCGTAACTATGCAATTGTTAAGGGTATATCGGAACCAGAAATGTTAGTCCCGGTCACTGCACATGCAGCATTTGACAAGGTTAACTTTCCTTGTAATTACTGTTACTCAAGAATGGATGTTAAAACCGTCTTTACTTTATTTTTGAAAACTCTCTGTAAAATTCCTTTATTTCATGTTATGTTCAGGCAGCACATTTATTTGGTATGCGAATACGACATGTACCTGTTGGGAATGATCAAAAAGTTGATATAGATAGAATGAAACAAGCTGTATCTAGTGATACATGTGTTGTAAGTTTGTTCGAGAGACATTATTGGGCGTCTTCAAAAACCTTTTAGTTTTTGAATTTATAGGATTTGTGTCAGATATTTCGAGGTAGATTACACGAGTCCTTTATCTCTTCTCACTTTTCAGCTGGTTGGGTCAGCACCAAACTTTCCAACTGGTACAATGGATGACATTGAACAAATCGCACAAGTATATTTAATTATGCAAAAGTATCTAGTCTGGAAGTGCTCACTTAAAGATGTTTAATATTTTTTATTTCTTCTCGTTCTAAATTTTTGAGAAACGTTTGAGAGATTTTGTAAATTGAAAAGTCATCGCCTTTTCCCTTGTCTTCTTTATATAATATCGTATTTATGACTTGAAATAAAAAGGAATCTTCTTTTCATTTTCAGCTTGGGCAAAGGTATGATATTCCCGTACATGTTGATGCATGTTTAGGTGGTTTCTTGATAGCTTTTATGGAACAATGTGGCTATCCGTTACCGCCATTTGATTTTCGTGTGCCTGGCGTTACATCAATATCATGTGATACACATAAGGTTTGCTTTCTTTTTAGTTTTTCTGCACTATTTTTGTGGTTTTTTGTTTTGCTGCTCAGCTGAAGCAAAAATGCATTCTTAACTTCCTCTCAGAAAACGGCGAGAAGTTCATTTATTCCCAAATTTCAACTTTATAAATCGAAATCGATTTCAGTATGGCTATGCTCCAAAAGGATCCTCAGTGATACTTTATCGGGAAGGAAAGTATTTACATCATCAATACATGTGCTTTCCAGAATGGACGGGGGGTATATATGCTACACCGACTTTTGCAGGTGTCTTTTTTTGTTTTTTGTCTTTTTTAAGTCTTACTGCCTTAAATGGTTTGTTTCTTTGCAGCTTTATAAAGGAATAAGTGCTTGTAACAGTAGTTGTTTCTGTGATTGACAAAATTGTAGAATGGATTTTATAATTAACTTTTTTTGAGCAGGTGTTGGTGTAGGACTTTTATTCTTTTGAATAAGGAAGTAGTAGGTGAAAATTATTTATTAATTGAAAGTCAGATGTACCATTCTTTTATCACTTTGCATTTAGGAAGTCGTTCTGGTCTAGCAATATCATTAGCTTGGGCTACTTTGCTTTCTTTTGGACGTTCTGGTTATGTGCAGCGAACAAAGGAAATCATTCAGTGTGCTCGTCGGATTAGTTCTGCCATTATGGTAATTGTTCAGGAATGAATAATTCCTGGAATAAACTAATAATTCACAGCGCTAGATTGAAATTCCCGGAACATCTTTTTTAAGCAAATGTCTTTTTAATGTACCATAAAATCGATTCAATTTTAAATTGTTCGATGTTTCATACAAAATGTATTTATTTCCAGAGTCTTAGTTTGCTTAAAAAATCCGGACTTCTAGAATCCAAAATACCTTCATCTTTAAAAATTGACAACTTTGAATTTTGTGCAAACTCAAGTAAGCAAAGTGATTGTTTGTTGTTTTAAAATGATGTCGATGGTCTTCGTCTTCTTGGTTCGCCTGATGTATCCATTATAGCGTTTACTAGTGATGTTTTCAATATTTATGCCCTCGTGGATGGTATGTCTGCTCTTGGATGGAATTTGAATTCTATCCAAAATCCTGCTGGGTAAGCTCTTTGAAATCCTTGCATAATGATTCGGAAGTTATCGGAAAAGAAATCAAACCTTGCTGAGTAGTTTACAGGAAAAAATTATTTGTAAAACATATGAAACAACAACATTAGTGTATAATGTTTTTGAAATGAATTCAGGAAATGGTTAAAGCCTTTTTATTTCAGAGCACACATTTGTGTTACTTATAACACGGTACTTGCTAATGCATGGCGAACATTCATAGATGATTTACGAAAAGTTGCTTTTACTCTGATGAATGATCCAGACGAAGGAAAACATTCAAATATGGTATTTTTCCAGGAAGAGAAATTGTTTCTAAACTATTTTATTGATTCGGAAAATAAAAACACTGATTTATAGCAGGACGTCATAAAAATTTGGATGGCTTTCTTTTGAGTATTTTCCATGCTTTACATGGTCTTCGAATCCCATTTTCTTCCTTTTTCCATGCATTTCAGGCATATTTGAGGCGTTGTTATCAATATCCTAATTATGTATATCATGTCTTCTTACAAGTTTTGAAAATCAAATGGAAGATGAGAATTAACTGTGATCTTGCAGGCTGTTATATATGGTCTTGCAGCAACTATTCCGGATAAACAGCTTATCAATGATTTAGCTTATTGTTACCTAGATGCATGTTACACCGCGCCGTCGCTGGAAGTTTCCAAAATTTGATATCGTATTCTTATGTAGAAATTCAATTCATCCAATTTTTCATATTGAGATCGTTTTGTTACATTCTTATTGTCAAGGAATCTGTTCGTCATCCCATATTCGTCATCCCCTCCCCTCCTCCCCCCTCCTGCTTTATTTATTCAAATTCTTTGTTTTTTGTCAGTTTCTCTTACTCTTTCGAAACTGAAGATATCATATTCTAAACTGATTTAATATAAACTATGAGCATATTTTTCAATGATTTTACAAATCATTTTTTCCAAATCGATTTTGAGACACTTTTGTTTTTCGAAATAATACGCCTTTTGTATATGGCTTTAAGATATATTTCTATATATCGAGCATTTTCGGGATAGGTGTGTATGACATCACTTTTTGAAGGAAAGTCTTAGCTAGGTCCTAAAGTTTTAAAAAAAAGTGGAGCAGAAAAAGTTGGACGGGTCAATTTTAGAATATCTAACATGGAGGAAAGTAGATGAAAAGTCAACTGACTTTAACGCACGAAGTATTTGATATTTATTTGTTACTTTTATTAATTTGCATTCTAAATATGGTAACTCGTTGAGAAGTGATTTATAGTGAAAGTAAAACTGGGAGAACATGTCACCATAGGAATGAGATGGGTTCTTCTATTGCTATCCAGCGCTGAAAAGAATTACCGGTACTGGGAAAGCAAGAGGTGATACAATGCAGGAATTGTTGATAACATAAAGAGAGGCTGACCAACCCATCTGGTGTGCATAAAGGTAAAGGATGGAAATAAGATCAAGTATAACTAAGCAGATATGTGCTTTCAAGTATCCTTCATTTCCATGCACGATCTTCAACGATTTTATATTTTTATAACTCATTTGCTCGTTGATTGTTTACTTAATTGGTTTTTCAACATTTCTAAATTCCATACTAATAAGGTTACTGTCACTGCCCCTTCCCTGCCTTACACAATAAGTTGCTCATTTACAGTCTGTTAATTTGGCACCAGTTGTGGATTAAGTGGAAAATTTTTGTACTCTTGGAAGTGTCTTGCGGAACGTGACACAGAGTTGCAAATTTCTCTGTTTCCACCTGAAACTTGGATAATTAAACCAGTTAAATGATATTAACGTCACAGTCGCAAATATAAAAATAAAAATAAGCGTAAAAATAAGTTTCAAAACTCCTCCACAAGATAAATCCGAAGATCGCAACAAAAAGCAAAAAATAAAGGAAAATGTCATCCTTCTGTGTGGAGGGTGTGTACACATATCCCTCGCAAATGTGGTTCAACTTTTACATGGATTAGCACCTTTGTTAGCGCACATTACAAACAATAAGCACAAATACAATTCTATGCATAGCGATAGTACCCTACGTGCACAGAAAAAAATTTGGATGATTTTCAAATCTTAGTCACGATCCAACTTGGTAAATATAAGTTAGTATGTCACAACACAGTTATTTATGAACCTTTATATTTATCTTTCTCACAGAACCTTTTCGTCTTTATTCGCGACAGTGAAATTTCAGCTGGTTAAGACTATCAGCCTTTCTCTTATTTCTATAACTTTATGCCACAAGAAATTGCAAAATCTACTAAAGCACTTATACTTTACATGTAATTAAATCATTTTCTTGAATAAATTCAGTGTGCAATGGTAAATTCAACATGGGTAAAGGTGTTGGAGAGAAAAAAAACTTTTTTAATAGTATTTGACAGTCTTGCTCTTTCACTATGGCAGGTTCTGCAGTTTCTGTTAGAATTGTTTGTTTGTTCTTACCCCAATTCATTGCTTTTATTTCTATGAATTCGATATACTCCCTTGCTTCCCATCCTAAAAGTGTGACAGATAAGTGTACAGAATCAGTATGTCTAATAAGGTCACCACATACAATTGCTCAAAGTGCTCGAAGTTCATGAAAATACGGTAGAAATATCTTAGAAGTCTCCATGCTCGAAATAAAGTGCTTGGACCGAGTACAGGTAAATAATCCTACCGCTGGTAACATCTATAATTCATATGGTCTTCAGAAGCACCACTGAATGAACTGAGAAGGGTGATGGCTGAACACCTAGACCGCAGCAATTTTAAAACCTTGAAAGTCACACCGTAATTATTGTCAATT